GGAGAAAATTTTAGATTCAGAATGGGTTTTTACAAATAAGGCTGATGATCGAAAAAAAGCAAGGCTGGTTGTATACGTATGCCAACAAGGTGAGGTACTGGAAGAGCTTTATTCCCCAGTAGCAAAAATACATTCATTAAAATGGTTATTAGCATACGGTTGTTATTATAAATTAAGAGTAACAAAAATGGATGTGGAAACCGCGCTCCGCAATGGAAATGTAAAATCTGAAGTGTTTGTTATGCAACCAGTGTGTTATGATGATGTGAATGGAAAGGTGTACAGATTGAGAGAATCATGTGAAATCCCTAGATACTGGCATGAATGCTTTGACGAATATATTATAAAATTAGTATCTGGTAGAGGTGAGAACGATTATTGTTTATGCACAAATGGAGAGAAAGGAAACAGTATATTTAATTTTCTGTGCAGACTATTTACTAATTTGTGCAAGAGACGAACATATACTTAAGGAAATCAAAGCTAAACTGTCAAAAAGGTTCGCAATGAATGATTTAGGTGAAGTGAAAACTTTTGTTGGAATAAACATAGATTACGATTTTAAAAAAGGTGTCATGAAGCTCAATCAGATACATTACACTGAGACTTCAGCATAGAGATGCAAGGTTGAGAACAACAAATTATATAGTACACAGATGGAGCAAAATTTGAACCTGGAACCATCACAATTGGCCTCAATTGAGATGAAATATACATATCTCATTGGAGCATTATTGTATGTTGCCACTGGAACACCAATAGATAACAGATAGAGTGCAAATTATTTAAGTCGATTCCAAAATTGTTATGATGAATCTCATCTTAAACATGCATTAAGAGTTTTGAAACATCTTTATCTTACACGACAAAAAAGATTAACATGTCAAAGAAATTTGAATGATGAGACGATGGAATGCTCTTTTGACGCTGATTGGGCTGGATGTAAAACAGATAGAAAGTCAACTGCAGTTCACATATTAAGGCTATCTGAATGTGTTATATTTTTGGAAGTCAGGAAAGCAAAACTGTGTTACAAAATCATCCCTAGCTGCTGAATACTTATCGTTATCAGAAGCAGTTATCATGATAATTTATTTGAAGGAACTGCTAAAAGAATTTGATATAAAGATTGAAAGCCAACAAAATGTAAAGAAGGTGATTCAGGTTCAATTGCGATATCGAAATATGGAAATTTGACAAAGAACTCGAAATATAATGAAATACATTATCATTTCGTACATGAATGCTATGAACATCAAGAAATAGACATTGTAATGATCAATTCAGAAAACAACGTATTAAATATTTTGAGGAACGCATTAGGAAGGAGTAAATTTGAAAAATTTAGATCAGGTACGTGATTAAGTTAAGTTGCAAAAATGACCAGTATAAGAATGTTTATAAGAGCGTAAGGTTAAGGAAGTCAAAATTAATGAGGTGTGTTGAAATATGTATAATTTTGATCACCGCTACGTAAATGAGTGTGTATATTGTGAGATGACCGCTAAGCTACGGTAGTAGGAAAAACTTCCGCGAGGCGCGCTTTACGTCATTCATGCTTGCTGTGTCTGGAGGCATGGGTGTAGAGAGAAGGTGTAGCGTAGTAATAATGTGCTAATAAATCAGAATTTATTGGTGAAATAGGGAGTTGTAGATAAGAGAATTACATCCTAATAATACTAATAACGGATGCTTTTAAAGGAGGTTTGAACATTTTGTGCTTGCGGACCGCATTTATTAACCGCGACTATTGAATAACCAATTCAAATTTCGGTTATGGCTAGTAATATTTACAATTGTCATCACTGCATTTAGTACATCTTCCGACGGAGCACTGATGCCGTTGGATTAATCTGTTCACTGATGATGCATACCCCACAGTGACCCTAGAACGAGAAAAGCAGATCCACTATCCCTCGAGATATTAACAATTGACACCACATTACTGAGTGCAGCCATCTTCACAGTAGAGCAACCGTTGGTCTACTTTGTAAACCGATGATGTAGATACGAAAGTGATTATTGAATAATGAATGCATAGTGCGGTTATGGCTTGACATATATCAAATTGATGGTACTGCCTTAGTAAATCCACCGGCAGAGCACCGCAGCAGATGTATTAGTCCGCTCAATGACGATATCGATTTCATAGCAATTCTAGTACCACAAATGACAGATCCATTATACCTCGAGACATTAGCGATTGACAACACAGTACTGAGTGGAGCCACCATAACAGCAATATAGCCGTTGGGTTAATTTGCTCACACATGGTGTAAGTTCCAAGGTAATTCTGGAAAAATATGTATATTACGGTTGTGGCTTGAGACTTTTCCAACTAATATTACTGTAGTTAGTACATATGGCAACAGAGCGCTGTTGCCGTTGGGTTAATGTGTTTAATCATGATATATATATTGTAAAGCTTCAGAGTGACATAATACAGGCACACTGTTCCTCGAGATATCAACAATTCTATGCTATGTACTGACTACAACTATCTTCACAGTAATTCGAACACTGCACTACTTTATTCACAGATGTCGCAATTTCCTTCGTAATACTTGAGCAACCTACGTAAACCACGGTAATGGCTAGTGAAGTTTAAAGTTCACATTACGATAGTTAGTATATATATCAACGTAGCACTCTTACTGTTTGATGGTATTCGTCACTGAATATGTACGTTCTACAGCAATTCTAGAACGAGGTATGCAGGTCCATCATCCCTCGAGATATTAACAGTTGTCAAAAGTGTACTGTGTACAGTCGTCATCAAAGCGTTGTAACGATGCCATTGCTATGCTTAATGTTAATATCTCCTTCAAAGAAATTCTATAATAATCAACGTACTGTGCGGTTATGGCGAGAGGCATCGCCCACTGACTGCACGGTACCCAGTACATCAACCAGCAGAGTACTGGAGCAGCTGTATTAATCTGTTCAATGAAGGTTTTGAATAATAGCTATTCTAGAACGACAAAAGACTGATCCACTATCCCTCAGGGTATTAACAATTGGCAACATAGTAATGAGTACAGTCATTTCCACAGTACTGTAGCCGTTGGAATACTTCGTTCACTGAGTATGAAATTCGAAAGTGACTGTTGAAATATATACATCTTTGACCACTGCTACGTCAATGCGCGTGTACAGTGTGAGATGCCTGCTAGGATAGATTACGAGGACAACCATCCGCGAGTCGCGCTGTACGTTACTCATGGTTGCCTTTTGCTGGAAACATGGAAGACGTGGGAAGATGTAGCGTTGCGTCGTGTTAATGCGTTAATGTATCAGATACTATTGGTGATACAGAGAGTTGTAGTTGAGAGAAGCTCATCCTAATGATACTAATAATAGATAATATAAGAGAAAGTATGAATATTTTGTGTTTACGGTCCCCTTTTATTATCATGGTAGCAGCCCGTGGTTTCCAACACGTGCTCGGTGAAAAAGGTTATGAAGTCACATGAGACAGTGAGTGATATACAGTGTAACATACTTAGAAGGAATACAGACTGAAAATAAGTAGAGATTTAAAGCTACTGAAGGAAAAGGGAAAAAGCAGAAATTGGAAGGTGATACATAAAAATAAAAAAATAAAAAGAAAAAATTCGGGTGAAAGTGCTACAAATATTACAACCTTAGACGGGAGTGATTATAAAATACGGAAAAAGAGAATTTCACTGTATCCGAAATGGTAAAAGTGCCACGAGCCGGCTATAGGCATAAGGTTAACAAGAGAAAAGGGACTGACTGGAATAACTTGAATCCAAATGTGATGAATTATACATACGGTAGCATATCGAACGAGCAGCTAGAGTTTGCGGGTGAATTGAATGCGGCGAAAGAAATTTTGGATAAACTTGATGAAATGTTTCAACAAAAATCTACAGCATTACAGATATATATTTGGAACAACTTGGATCGAAAGATATTAAAAAAAATTACGACGATTCATGTTCATTCTTTCTGAACTTTTGAGAAAACAGTTAATGAGTTGAAGGTTGCAAGTGCGGAAATAAAGGAAAGTGAAAGACTCCATTATATGTTAGAAACGCAACCGCAATCACTTTGCTAGGTTTGTGATATGATAGGCACAATGAATACCAAGGATTGCGCTTGCGAGCTATTGAAGAGCAAAGTTACCATGTGGGAAGCCCAAGGGCAATCAGAATGTGAAAATTATAAATAGCACGAAACACACAAAAGACGAGTAGACCAAGTAGCAGCGGTGATTGTAACTGACAAGGAGGTGGGAGGCAACCCAGGCAAGAAAAATCTGCTAATCAACAATTTCGAGGCCAAGGAGGTCGAGGTTATGGCCAACGTGGACATAGTAGGAACCAGAGAGATCGTGGCTAGGTTTGGCAGTCGTACCATGATGGAACGGGTCAACATCATGCGAGGTACTCATACAAAACGCGAGATAATTAGCTTGGGAGAAATGAATCCTGGGAACTGGTAGACAAGCCGGAAGACAAGAAAGTTTTGACTTGAGATGGGTTTCTACAAATAAGGCTGATGGTCGAAGAAAAGCAAGGCTGGTTGTATGCGGTTTTCAACAAGATGAGGTAATGGAGGTGCTATAATTCCCAGTGGCAAAAATAAAGTCAATAAAATTAGTGTTAGCATACTGCTGTAATTATGAATTAACAATAACTCAAATGGACGTGGAAACCGCATTCCTGAATGGAAATATAGAATTTAAAGTGTTTGCTATGCAACCAGTAGGTTATGACGATATGAGTGGAGAAGTATGCAAATTGAGAATAGCATTGTGTGCATTACGTGAAAGACCTAAATGCTGGTATGAATGCTTTGACAAATATATTACAATGTTATGATTTCGAGGAAGTGAGAATGACTATTGTTTATACATGGAAATAGAGAAGAATGAACAAATATATTTAACTTTGTATGTAGAGCATTTACTAATTTGTGGAAGAAAAGAAGATGTACTTAAGTAAATCAAAGCTAAACGGTCAAGAAGACTTGCAATGAAAGATTTAGGTGAATTGAAACCTTATGTTTTAATAAACATAGATTGCGACTTTAAAAAAGGTGTCATGAAGCTCGATCGGAAATATTACATTGAGACTTTAGCAAAGAGATGCAATATTGAGAACAGTAAATTATGTAGTACATCGATGCAGCAAAGTTTGAACCTGGAACAATCACAATCGTCCTCAATTGAAATGAAATATAGAAACCTCATTGGAGAATTATTGTACGATGGGATGGGAACACCAATAGACATTAGTTATAGTGCAAATTATTTAAGTCGGTTCCAAAATTGTTATGATGAATCTCACCTTAAATATACTTTAAGAGCTTTGAAATATCATTTTCTTACACGAGAAAGAAAATTAACATATCAAAGAAATATAAATGATGAGATAATGGATAGCTCTGTTGACGCTGATTGGGCTGGAAGTAAAACAGATAGACAACCAACTACAGGTTAAATAATAAGACTATCTGAAAATGTTATATTTTGGAAATCGAGAAAGCAAAACTGTGTAACAAAGTCACCCGCAGCTGCTGAATATGTATCGTTATCGGAAGCAGCTGGCGAGATAAAATTTCTAAAGAAACTGCTAAAAGATTTTGATGTTGAGATTGAAAAGCCAACAAAAATTAATAAAGATAATTCAGGAGCAGTTGCAGTATCGATATGTGGAAATTAAACAAAAAACTCGATATATAACGAAGTGCATTGTCATTTCGCACATGAATGCTATGAACATCAAGAAATAGTCATTGTAAAGACTGAAGGAGAGACCAAGGTAGCCGATATTTTGACCAAAGCATTAGGAGGAAGTGATTTTGAAAAATTATAAGAGTTACGAAACTAAGCTAAGTTGCAAAAATGACCAGCATAAGATTCTTTATATGAGTGTAAAGTTATGGTAGTCAAAATTACGGAGGAGCGTTGAAATATGTATAATTTTGAGCTCCGCTGTGCAAATAGGGGTGTACAGCGTGAGATGCCTGCTAAGTTAGAGTAGTAGGAAAATCTTCCGCTGGGCGCGCTTTATGTCACTCGTGTCCGCTGTGGCTGGAAGCATGGAAGTAGAGAGAAGACGTAGCGTCGTACTAATGTGTTAATAAATCAGAATTTATTGGTGAAATAAAAAGTCGTAGGTGAGAGTATCTCATCCCAATAATACTAATATCAAATTCTATTAAAGATAGTATGAATAATTTGTGCTTACGAAACTCAATTATTAACAATGACAAAAGAATAACCTATGTATGTTGCGGTTATGGCTAGTAATATTTGCAATCGTTATGACGGCGCCCAGTACATCTTCCAACAGAACATTCATGCCGTTGGATTAATCTGTTCACTGATGATGTATACACCACAGCAGTTATGGAACAGGAAATGCAGATCCACATACTTGCAATTGACAACACATTACTGAGTGCAGCTACCATCACAGTACAGTATGCGTTGACACTCTTCGTTCACTGATAATGTTGATTCGAATGTGATTCTTCAATAACGAGTGCATAGTGCAGTTATGTCTTGAGATATATCCAACTGATGGTACTGGTTTAGTAAATCCACCAGCAGAGCACTGCAGCCGGTGTATTAATCTCTTCAATGATAATATCGATTTCGTAGCAATTCTAGAATCACGAATGACACATACATTATGCCTCGAGATATGAACAATTGGCAACGCAGCACAGATTATAGCAATCGTCACAGTATCGTTAGGGTTGTAAAACATTGCTCTCTGAAAATGACAGTTGTAAGGCACTCTAGAATAATCAATGCATGTTACTGTTATGACTAGAGATATTTCCAACTGACAGAGCGGTACTTTGTACATCAACCGGCAGAGATTTGCTGCCGCTGTATTAATCCGTTGATTGTTGACATTGATCCTATAGCATTTCTAGAATGACAAAAGGCAGATCCACTATTCCTCGAGATATTAGCAGTTGATAACAAAGTAATGAATACAGACATCACCAGAGTAATGCAGCCGTTGGACTACTTCGTTCACTCATGATGTAATTTCCAAAGTAATTCTGGTATAATCAATGTATATTAAGTTTGTGGGTTGAGATATTTCCAATTGACTGTATGGTACCTGTTACATTCGCCAATATAGCCCTTTGGGTGATGGACACAACTGTTCAGTGATGCTTCAAATTCAACAACAATTCTAGTATGGCACAAGGCTGGTCTACTATCCCTCGAGATATCAACAATTGAGGACAATTTACTTACTACAGGCATTTTCGCAGTAATTTAGACCTTGGTCTACTTTGTTCCCTGATAATGTATATACCAAAGTAACTCCGGAATGACGTGCGTATACTGCGGATATTGTTACTGTTACTTGCATTTCACTGTACGGTAATTACTGCATTTATTAACAGAGCATTGGAGCCGTTGGATTGAATAAGTCACTGAAAATGCAATTTCTACAGCGCACGTAGAATGAAAAATGAAGGTACACTGTACCTCGAGATGTTAACAATCAACATGACAGTACCGAATTCAACCATCATAATAGTAGTGTAGCCGTCGGAACTCTATGACCACAGACGGTGCATATTACAATCAATTCCGCTATAATCATTGCATATTACGGTTACAGCTTGAGATATTCCCAATTGAGGGTACGGTGCTTACTAAACCCACCAATATCGCAACGTAGCCGCTGGAATAACCTGTACTCTGTTGATATGGGGCTGATTGCAACCCTAGAATGATAAATGAAGATACATTATCCGTCGCGACATTATGGAGTTACAAAGCAGCTCTAAGTACAGCAATCACGACAGTACTGCAGCCGTTGGAATACCTTGTCCACTGATGTCGTAAATTCAAAAGCTGTTATGGACTACCCAATGTATATTACAGTTGTGGCTTGAGATATTTCCAATTGTCATTATAGTACTTATTACATTCACAAATGCAGCACGGTAGCCGCTGGATTTGTAAGTTCAATAATGATATAAAATCTATAACAATTCTCGAACGGCGAGATACAGATACACTGACAAACGATATGTTGGAATTGTCGACACAGTACAGAGTACAGCCGTCATCACAGTAATGTAGCTGTTGGCCACATTGGTCACTGGTGATTAAAGTTCGACAGAAACTAGAACAACCTATGCATGTTGCGGTTGTGGCTAGTGATATTTACAATTGGCAGTACGGAGTTTGATACATCTACCAGCAGAGCGCTATTGCTATTTGACTTATCTGTTCACTTATGACGTATACTGCACGGCAATTCTAGAACGAGAAATGCAGGTCCATTATGTATCGAGTCATTATCAATTGACAACACATTAATGAGTACAGCCATCTTCACAGCAGTGTAGCCTATTGGACTGCCTCTTTCAATAATTATGAAGAAACAAAGACAATTCTGAAATAATCATTGCATATCAAGCTTATGGCTTGACATATATACAACTGACATTTCGGTACCTATTACATCCACCAATATAGCACTGCAACCAATTCACTATTCTGTTCAATGATGACTTAAATTCAAAGACCATTCTAGAATGACGGAATACAGATACACCGACGCTCGAGATATTAAAAATTGAGATCACAGTACTGAGTAAAGCGAACATCTCGCTAATGCAGAGGATGGACGGCTTTGTCCACTGGTAATGGATATTCTAAAGTAACTCTTGGGTAACCTAGGTACATTGAGGTTTTGGCCACTGACGTTTACAATTCACAGAACGTTAATTACTACATCTACGAGTAGAGCACCGTTGCCGTTGGTTTAAATTGGCCACAGAAAGTGTATATTATGTAGCAATTTTAGAACGCTATATGAGGGTCCATTATCCCTCGAAATGTTATCAATTGACAACACAGCACTGAGGACAGCCGTCAGCACAGTACTGCAGTTGTTGCAGAATATTGCTCACAAATTACGAGGTAACAAAGAAAATTCTGGTATAATCATTGCACATTACGGTTATGGTTTGAGACATTTTCAGTTGACGACACGTTACTTGCTACGTACACCAATATATCTCCGGACACGTAGGATTAAACTGTTCATGGATGACATAAATTCTATAACAATTCTAGAGCGACAAAATACACATCCACTGTTCCACACGATGTTAACAATTGACAACACTGTACTGAGTTCAGTCAACGTCACAGCAAAGTAGCTGCTGGGATACTTTTTCCACTGACGATGTAAATTCGAAAGAGATCCTAGAATAACCTATAATACGTGCAGATACGGCTAGTGGCATTTACAATTCACAGTACGTCATTTATTACGTCTAGCAACAGATCACATATGTGGCTGTATTTATCTGTCCACTGATGATGCATATTCTACAGCAATTCTAGAACGAGATATGCAGATCCACTATCGCTCGAGGCATTAACAAATGACAACGTAGCACTGAGTACAGCCATCTTTACAGCACTGTAGCCGTTCAATGGCTATGCTCACTGGCGTTGTAAATTCCAATGCATTTCTAGAATAGCCGACATAAGTTACGGTTAACGCTTGAGATATTTTCAATTGTTAGTACGTTACTTATTAAATCCACCAATATAGCAGAGTAGCCGGTGGATTATTCTGCTCAATGAAGATTCTGATTCTATAGCAGTTCTACAACGACAAAGTGCATATCCATTGTCCCTCGAAATATTAGCAATTTACAACAATGTACTGAGTACACCCACCTTCACAGTAATATAGCCGCTGGACTACTTTGCTCGCTAATAATGTAAATTCGAAAGTGATTCTAGAATAACCCATGTATAGAGAGGTTCTGGTTAATGATATTTACAATTGACAGTACGGCATTTTGTACGTCTACCAACATATCGATTTTGCCGTTGTATTAATCTCTTCACTGATGATACATATGCTAAGGCAATTCTGGAACGAGACATGCAAAGCCATTATCTCCCAAGATATTAAAAAATGACACCACAGTTCCTATTACGGCCATTATCACAGTATTGTCGCCGCTCAATAACTACGTTCACTGTTGATGTAAGCTACAAAGAAATTCTGGAGAAAACAGCGCATATTCCGGTTATGGCTTGTGGCATTTCCAATTGACAGTACGGTACGTATTACATCCACGAAAATAGCTGTGTAGCCGTTAGATTAAACTGATCGATTATGATTTAAATTCCGTGGCATATCTAGAAATGCAGAAATAAGTCTACTATTCTTCGAGTCATTAATGATTGACAGATCAGAACCGAAATCACCCACCATCAGAGACATGTAGCAGTTGGACTACTTTGCCCACTGATAATATAATTCGATTGTGATTCTAGAATAACCTATGTATAATGCAGGTATGGCTAGTGTTATTTACAACTGGCAGTACGGCATTTAGTACATCTTCCACCAGATCTCTGTTGCCGTCTTATTAATCTGTTCACTGATGATGTATATTCCACAGCAGTCCCAAAACGAGATATGCAGAT